GGGTTTCTGAGGTGCAGCTGGTGACCTTGAACTGCTGACCTTGCAGTTCAAAGCAACTTTGCAGTCCAGCACATTAACCCACAGCACCACAACAGGACTCACTCACTCTGTCCGTCTGTCTGTCTGTCTCTCTTTCTCTATATATATTTCTAGCTTACTGTTTAGCGGGTGTTATACAAAAACACAATTCCTGACATAATCCTTCACAAGGTTGGTCAATCTTTAAGTAGGAGAAGGGAGAGGGCAGCTTCCAAAAACTGCCAGGGGTAGTTTTATCATAAAACCAACTATCTAGGTTGCAGGATGGCTCACTTCCCACAAGGTGCCGCTGGAGAGCAGGTTTCGTTTGTAATGATCTTAAAAATACACACACAATTTCACAAATTTCTTTTTTTCTTGTAGTGCTGTAGGATAAGTACTGTACAACAAGGCCAGTTTGAACCGGCTCAAACTCATCAGCCGCTCCTCCGAAACTCTATACAGTGTTGCTATGAGTAGGAACCGACTCCATCATTCTTAACAACTGTCGGAGTCCTTGTGTAGCACTGTAGGATAAGTATTGAACTGTTGGTTCAAGCCTACCTGCCACTTCTTGGAAACCCTAGACTAGATACTACTTAATTACTCCTATAGGATCAGGACTTCTGGTAAGGCACTGTAGGATAAGCTTTGGACTGCTATCCACAAAGTCAGTGGTTCAAATTCACCAGCCGCTCCCTGAAAATCCTATACAGGATCGCTATGAGTCAAAACCTACTTGACTGGAGCTCTGGTAGCATAGTGGTTACGAATCGGGCTGCTAACCTCAGGGTCATCATTTCGAAACTATCAGCTGTACTGTGGGAGAAAGATGAGGCTTTCTGCTCCTGTAAAGATTTACAGCCTCGGAAAACATGCGCAGGGTCGCTATGAGTCGGAACCGACTCCACAGCACATAACAGCAACAATAGGATACGATAAACATTGGACTGATAAATGCAAGGTCGACAGTTTAAACTACCGGCTGCTGTTGGAAACCTTGTAGGTACAGGGTTGCAAAGTCAGAATTGCCTTGACAACACAGCACAACAAACAATTGTGTGAAAGACTTTATTACAAACCACTTCAGAAAAACCAAAAAACGAATATCCCTATTCCTCCTCCCTTCCCCATTATACTCCACTCCATTTCTTAGGGCAGACAAACAGCTCTTTCCATTGATTGCCATTCGCCTCTGAAGATAAGGCTTTCTCCTCCCACCTTCCCACCAAAATGGAGCTGGCTGTCTATCTGGGGAATGAACTTTGTGTGTGATCTTTCTAATGTGAAAGCTACTCAGTTGGGTAAAAGAAAAGACGAATGGTTATCAGCTGATCACTCGGCACTGATCCGTCTACTTCCTTTGATGTACACCAATTATTTCAGAGTAAAGTGAAGCTTCTAAACAAAAGTCATCAGTACTTTCTGTTAAGTCTTTCTGAAAAAGCATGAAGAAAAATAGCCCACACAATAAACACGGCTAGAGGCAAAGTTTTAATTTTTGTTTCTTTCTTTTTAAGTTCACAGAGAGCTCAGAAAGGAAACAAGATGGAATGAATGTATCAAAACTTTAACAGACTGGGGGCACTGCTCTGCATAAGAGAAAACACAGTGAGGGAGGAAACATGCTTGCTTATCTTCGCAGGAACTTAAAAAAAACTTTTTTTAACCAACTTTGAGCTATCGATTGACACCAAAGATTAGGATAAACACTGGATCACAGGTTGGTTTGAACCACAAGGTTGGTAGTTCAAACGCACTAACCTTTCCTTGGAAATCCTATAGAGTTTCTATGAGTTGGAACTGACTCAATGGCACTTAACAACAACAGAGATTGGACAGAGATCTGGCAATGTATGCAAGATGCAAAAAGATGTTCATACCATTTGATCTTGTTAAGTCCTTCTGTGGGACTTTTACTTCAAAAGAAGCAAAATTATATAGCTACACGGATATATAAAGCCCAGATAAGCACTGAACTAGTAATTACAAGGTTGGCAGTTCAAACCTACCAGCCACTCTCGGAAAGCCTATGCAGGATCACTGTGAGTCAGAACTGATTCAACGGCAAACACCACCACCAGCAATAACAACAAGGATATAGTCATTGTAACATTTTCTATTTGTTCTTGTTGTTGGTAAGTGCCTTCGAGTCATTTCTGACCATAGTGACCCTGTATAATGTTTCCAAGGAGCAGCTGGTGAGCTTGAACCACCAACCTTGCAGTTCAAACGGCTTTGTAGTCTGGCGCATTAACCCACAGCGCCACACCAGGAGTCCATATTTTCTATAATTGCCCCAAATTTGAAAAACCTAGGGTTCATGAAATTGTAGAATATCAGATCAAAAGAAAATATACTTAATTCATTAAACAACAAATACCAAATGCTTGTTGAAACATTTTGAAAACTGTTTTCAAGATAAGTGAAGGAAGCCTTGGTGGTCCAGTTCTTAAAAGCTCAGCTGCTAACCAAAATAGTGTCTGTTTGAACCTACCAGCTGCTCCTGTAAAGACTGGCTGGTGGCTGTGTGGGTTGAATCAGAGTCAACCTGGGCAGAAAGTAAAGACGTACAACTTTGGAAACTGTACGAGGCAGTTGGACTCCGTCCTCCAGGCTCTCTATGGCTCAGTAATAGTGGGTCTGATGGTGCAAAAGGTTAAGCACTTGTTAATTAAATGAAAAGCTGCTGGTTTGAACCCACCCAAAACCAACCTTAGAGGAAAGGCCTGTCCATTTGTTCTTCAAGGTTGCAGCCCTGGAAAACCCTTGGAGCAGTTCTATTCTGACACATATAGGTCAGAATCCTGGGGACAGCAATTAGCAACAACAACAGTTGTACCACCCTGCATTCCCCCTGCATACCTGATGACTGTTCATCTGCCTTAATTCTCCGTATTTCTCTCTTTACCTTTGCAGTTTTCATACAGCTGTTGCACACAGTGAGTCAGAACTTCTTTACTAGATTTCCAGTTTCACCCTGACTTTATATCCATTACCCACCAACCCATTCACTCGGAAATCAAGCCAACATTCTTGTTCCTCCAATATTCCTGCAGCTACTCCAATGTTCTCATCTCTATGTGATTCTATAGCTATTCACTCTTATGACTCCACACTTTAGCAGAATACCTTCTTGTTGCTTAATTTTGTAATAAGCTCCAGCAAGAATGTTGTTAGGTGCCTTCAAGTTGGTTCTGACTCATAGAGACATTTTGCACAACAGAATGACACACTGTCCATTCCTATTCCATCCTCACAACTGTTCTTATGTTTGGGTCTATTGTTACTGCCACTGTATCAATCCATCTCGCTTGTTCCATGAGCACTGTTGGTGCTTCCAAGCAAGATGAACTCTTTGGCAACTTCAATCTTTTCTCCATTTGTCATGAGGCAGCAGGAGTAGGGAATGGTTTTACAGACTTTTTTTTTGGGGGGGGGTATCTTCCATACTATCTTGTATACTTGGCATGAAATAAATTCTCAGTATACCTTTAGAGCTGGATTCATTATAAATAGATAGAGGAAGGTTTTTGAGGCAAAATGGAGGAGTAGGAAGATTCACTGCAGACCCTCTGCAACAAAGACACGGGAAACCAAGTGACACAGATATAGATCCTGGAACCCTGAACTTCAGAGGACAGGACGAGACTTGAGTGCTAACTGGAAGTGGACGCAGAGTAGGAGAAGTGTGAGAGAATAAAAGACAAAATGGATGGGCCATCAGTT